TTCTCTCTCCCTCTCTCCCCCTCTCTTGCTCTCCCTTCCTCTCTCTTTAGCCTCTCCCTCATTCCATGGTTTTTTTTTTTTTTTTTTTTTTTTTTTGTCTCCTTATTTGTGCTTCTCTCGGTCCTTGCTTCGTCATTCACCCTTGGCCATTCTTCCTCCATGGCTGCCTTCCTCAAGAGGGGGCTGTGTTTTTGACATGGCGTGCCATTTGTCTTCCCTCCTTGTGTTGTCTCTCCTTCTCTCTCTCCATTTTTTTTTTTAATAACAATATTGTTTTATTGATTCACACAAAAGCATACAAGCCTAGGCCTGCACCATAACCAGCCCTAACGGCTGCCATCTTGTCCTAGCCCCCATGGCCTATGCTACTCTCAAAGGCTTCTAACCAGCCTACGCACCACCGGTGCATCCACCTACGCCCTCCGGCATAGTGGCAAGGGGCGCCGCCCCGTAGGTCCTCTCACACCACGGGTGCGGGACCTTGTACGCCACGCCCTCCCATAGGGCAATTGTTTGCCATATGGTCGGGCTGGCCGCAACGGAAACACACCCCCTTGAAGCGGGGCTCGTGGCAGCCCGCGGGCGGCATGCCTTTTGCTTTCCGGTTCGCTGTCTCGAGGGGGAAGGCGGCCTCCGTGGGCGAAGCCGGTACGTGCACGCTTGAGGGTCGCCACGTCGGCTACCGGAAGCTTGTAGGAGCGGGACGTGAGCACGCTCTTGGCTTGGTACAACTGGAACCGATCCGCCGCTTCGAAACCGGCCTCATCCGCCACCAAGAGCACCTCAAAACATTTGTTGATCAACGTTTCGACTTGCTCCACGTTGGAGAGCGCGCCCTCGACGTCACCGTGTTGGAGCTTGAACTCGACGTGCCTCAGGTGAGCTTGAATTGCAGAGAACACCTCCGTCTGGTCACGCACTCCCTTGCGCATGAAGGTAGTAGCTGCGGGTGTGGAGGGGGGGAAGGGGAGGTGCGGGTGCGAGAATGCGACGACGAGCAAGGTTGTCGGGGACCTCACTGTCTTCATTTTCTGAGTCGTCGCTGTCGTCGGGGATACGGGCTTGGGTTGGTGCCGGAGCCGGGACGGGACCAGGAGCAGCGTTGTTGGTGCGAGCGATTTTGGTGGAGCGGGGGGCCGCGACAGGTTCCTTCTGCTTTTCGATTTTAGCGGAAGCAAGAAATTCTTCGGTTGATGTAGGTGTTGTCGATGGTGCGTGCTACTGCAATAACGAGAGCAGTGCCTGCAGCTGCTGCGCAGTCAAAGGGGGAGGTGCGTTGACCGGGGTGACGTCAGCGGAGGGTGCCGCGCGCTGGGGTTTCTGGGTCGTGGGCCCGGATGGACCCGCGTCAGCGCCGGTCAAGACGGCCGCCGCGTCAGCGCCGGTCGTCGTCTTCTGCGCAGCACGCGCGTGCCTGGTAGGCACACGCTCTTCAGCAGCAACCACACGCGACTGTACCACAGTCGCGCGTTCCTCAGGGGGGGTCCGAAGGGTGCCTCCGAGCAAGAGGTCGACCGCCGAGGGTCCCTCGCTTGAAATTTCTTCGGCGGGACGTTTTCCGCCGCGACGATCCGTTGTCCCGGCCGGGGTCGAGGTTTCCACCGCGTTACCGGGGCTAAAAATATTCGAGTTTTCGCGGTTAAGTGCCGGGTTGACCGGAGCCATCGTTGCGAGGTTGCGCTTAAGGATGTCGTTAAGGAGCGTTGACGGGGCAGTGAAGCGCGGAAGCGACTGAGTCTTCGCCAGTGTGGACGAGAACGAAAGTAGAACTACAATTTTGAAAATGAAAACGTGGGTGGGGACGAATGTCCTGTCAAACATTATATGTGTTGTTATTGTGTAGGCTATAGAAGGTTAGCCTTTAGGGGGTACACAAAGTTAGGGCTTGCTATTTGTACTCCAACTCTCATAGTGCAATCACTTCTCTCATTCTAACATGGTATTACGAGCCTAGGCTAGGAACCTAGGACCGTTCCTAAGGGCCCACCGTTTCCGCTCGGAGCGCCCTCGTGCGCCGTCCTTTCTAGCGCCCTCGTGCGCCTTGCTCCTAGAATGCCCTCGTGCGCCGCCCCTTAGAGGCCCCGTCGGCCCCGTCGACCTCGCTTAGAGGCCCCGTCGGCCCCACGTACCGCCCCTTAGCTGGCCCCGTCGACCTCACGCGCCGCCCCTTAGCGGCCCCGTCGACCTTACGCGCCGCCCCTTAGCGGGCCCCGTCGACCGTGCGCCCGCCCCTTAGCGGCCCCGCTGGCCCCGTCAACCCCGTGCGCCCGCCCCTTAGCGGCCTCAGCTGGCCCCGTCCACCCCAAGCGCCCGCCCCTTAGCGGCCCCGCTGGCCCCGTCGACCCCAAGCGCCCGCCCCTTAGCGGCCCCGCTGGCCCCGTCGACCCTGTGCACCCGCCCCTTCGCGGCCCCGCTGGCCCTGTACACCCGTGCGCCCGCCCCTTAGCGGCCGCGCTGGCCCCGTCGACCCCGTGCGCCCGCCTCTTAGCGGCCCCAGCTGGCCCCGTCGACCCCAAGCGCCCGCCCCTTAGCGGCCCCGCTGGCCCCATCGACCCCGTGCGCCCGCCCCTTAGCGGCCCCGCTGGCCCCGTCGACCCTGTGCACCCGCCCCTTAGCGGCCCCGCTGGCCTCGTCGACCCCAAGCGCCGCCCCTTAGCAGTCACGAGTGCAGAGTGGGGGGGCGTTGGTGGCAAGAAACTCGTCGGGCATGGCGGCACGAAAGCGGGCCTCACTAGTACGGAGGTGTGTCAAACATTATATGTGTTGTTATTGTGTAGGCTATATTGGGTTAGCCTTTAGGGGGTACACAAAGTTAAGGTTTGCTATTTGTACTCCAACTCTCATACTGCAATCACTTTTCTCATTCTAAGATGTCCCCATGTCCCTCTTTTGTAGGCAAAAGAGGGTGAGTAGCGCTTCGGCGCTACCTTTGCTGTGTTGGCCACCAGGGCCCAAAATATCAGGGTAAAACGCCCTGATTACCCTGGGGGTCGGCCGTTTTTTCAGGATTACCCTGCCAAAATCAGGAATGCGAATTAGTTGCCCTTCTCTTAAAAGAACATGTTTTTTTTTACCCTGAATGGTTTGAAGGCTAGGCTGACGGAATCAGGGTGTGGTGTACACTACCCTTTTACCGAAACTTTTCTAACGCGAATCAGACCACAGTCCGCGTTGTGACAAAATGTACCACACCCCCACAAACAACGGTTGTCGCTTGTGCCCACGCGCAAAATAATGCCTCGCTGTCGGCAACGCGCCATGTTGCTTCTTTTGTTGTTTCTCCCGCTGGGCTGCCAACTCATTCTCGAATCTTGCCACCCGTCGCCACGCCCATCGCCAACACAACAGAATTTGCTGTCAAAGACAGCTTCAAGCTGTCCTTGACAACAGAATGCAGCAGCAGTTCTGCCGTGCTGGCCATACACTTGCCGCCTCGTGGAAGAAACGGCCCTTGAGAGGCAGCCAGGGGGTGTGTAGTTCATATGTGACTTTTGTAGAGTGATTGGACTTTGGGTGTATTACTTTATTTCTAATTTTATTAAAACCGTAGCTCACAAAACTGTAACCAAAACAGAGTTGGCCCGAAAATACCCTGCTCAAATCAGCCTAGTGCCAGAGTTACCCTCAGGCCCTCAGATTGGTTTGAGGGTATGCTGATGGATCAGCGTGCCCCGGCCAATGAGGTGTCCAAATCAGCGTTCACTGTTTTTTTACTACTGATTTTGCCCGTGTAAAAATCATAAGTAAACTGAACCAACAGTGTAGAAACAAAAAACTATAGCTGAAACCCCAGTACAAGGTGTGTGGTGTTGTTGCTGTGATAGGTTCCAGCGACGCGCACCTGATATCTGTGCAGTGCATGCGAAAAAATGCCAAGCGTGTGGGTGGGGTGTCAGGAATCACGGGAAGGTACAAATAGGACACGCGTACCCTATCATCCCCCCTCCCCCCCCCCCCCCCCCCACACACACATGCGCAGTCAACTCCGTTTCAGTGTGACTCACGTCACTATACTGATTCGTCAGTGTTACTTGTACAGCAACACGCAAAATGGTCAGTGTGGCAACGTAGGTTATACTGAAATTTCAGTGCAAAATTGAGGCATATGCTGAATTTTCAGGGAAAACGAAAATCACAGCTACAAAATCAGCGTAATCAGCGTGTTTTACGCTGATATCTGAGAGCCTGGTTACCCTGCTGAAACCAGGCTACGGGAAATTCTACCCTAGGGGTCTGTTCTAGGAGGGGCTGGTACCCTGATTTGTAAGAGTAGGCCTAAACCAATTTTGGGCCCTGCTGGCCACGTACCCCTTTTCACAATACAAAATTTTAGTAAGTGTTACATTTCATTACACTTTCAAAAATTATCATGTCAAATTTCGAATTCTGTGCCTCTGAAAGCTGACACGCATATTTGTTTTTAACTACTGTATACAGAAAAGGGGGGTCTTAAAATGTTTTGTAGCAAAAGGGGGGTCCTCTCACATGTGCTACATATTAAGAGTCCCAGTACCATTCAATAGTCCCGGGGGTCTTTTTTTCGGGAGGGTCCTATATCCGGGAGGATACGGTATAACTTGATTTCAGCAGCTTTAGAAAGAAATTCTGTACGTAGATATAAAAAGGTTCCCGTCCCGTGTAAACAATCAGATGTTTTACAGGAAGTTATATGTTTTCATCAAAGGGGGGAGAATGACCAGCTACGGAGATGGGATGGGACAGGTTGGAAAAGAGCCCCGGATGGTGGGGAGAGGAGGAAGAACAAAAGGGAGGGTCATGGAAGCGTGAAGGGAGAGTGTGAGGTGGGGATTCCGTGTGGTGGTGCATGTACCTAACTGTACAAGGACGAGGGGATATTTCATGGACAAATGGCCAGTCCCTCGTACACAGCAGAGCCAGGTCTTGTGGCTGGTCCCACATTCATAGCGCGGTGTGGTATGGTATGGCACTGTACGGTATGGTACAAGGCATGGATGGGTCAGTGCAGGTGGCGTGGGTGGTCACTGCAGGTGGCATGATGAGAGGGGATGAGCACGCAGCAGGGCAAGTTCCTGAGTGAGACGCTGCCAGGCACAAGGGGGTGAGGGAGACGGAGAGCAGAGAGCAGAGATGGCGGGTGAGTGGTGAGATACGATGAGTCTCTGCGACATGATGAGAGGGGATGGGCACGCAGCAAGGCAAGCTCCTGAGTGAGACGCTGCCAGGCACAAGAAACAAGGCATGGGGGGAAGAGATAAAGCGGAGATTAGATACAGTTGGAGGCATGATGATAATGATGATCATCAAGCCTAGATAAGTCGAGTTTTGAGTCGACTCAAAACTCCCGACTTATCACACAAGATTAGATACAGGTGGAGGAATGATGATCTATCAAGCCTAGATAGCTAGATGCTATCTGTCCTTCCTGCGCACGCCCTCTCCACACCCTACTGCCCCCACCATCCCTCCCTTGCTCACCTGTCCCGCATCGGTCATTCCCAGGAACGACACCTTTTCCTCCTCACTCCCGTTCCTTAGCCCCCACAGTCTGCTCCCTCCCGCCCGCACTTCCCCCACAACCACCCCCTCCCTCGCCGCGCCCCACCCACTGCTCACGTGGCCCGGGTCGGTCATTCGCCGGAACGACACCTTCTCCTCCTAACGCCCGTACCTTCGTCCCCTTGCCGTCTGCTCCCTCCCGCCCGCCCTTCCCCTGCACCCACCCCCTCCCTTGCTCACCTGGCCCGGATTGGTCATTCGCAGGAACGGCACCTTCTCCTCTGGGCTGATTGGTAGGCCGCTTGCACCCTCCCTCCACACTCTCATTCCCCCACAAACCGTCCCCTCATTCCGCCGTGCTCCCGCCCTGCCCTCACCCCGCCCACTGCTCACCTGGCCCGGGTCGGTCATTCGCAGGAACGACACCTTCTCCTCCGGGCCGATGGGAAGCAGGTTTGCTAGCTGCGGTGAGGAGGGTGAGGAGAAGGTGGGGCGTAGAGGGGAGGGGTGACTGGATGATCAGGCAGCCATAATTTCAGGGTACAGAGGCAACAATGTTTTTCATTTGCTTTAAGCCTACTGCACGCACGCAGCTCACTGAGACATGTCAGAACCTTGCTTGGATGACCAGGCAGCCATATTTTCAGGGTGCAGAGGCAACGGTGGTTGGTTGCTACTGCGTGGTTGCTAGCGTGTGTGTCAGTAATTGTGCAAGTGTGCATGTGTTTGTGTGTGGGTGTGCGTGTGTAAGTGTGTGTGTGTGTGTACGTGTGTGTGTGCGTGTGTGTGTGTGTGTGTGTGTGTGTGTGTGTGTGTGTAAGCGCATGTGTGCATGTGCATGTGTGTACGCGCGTGTGGACCAAGGCGCACGCGTGGGCCAAAGCCTGGCACAGAGCTTAGCACAGCATGTGCTGTGCGTGCCAGACGTGTGCTGCGCGTGTGCCTTGAGCATGCATGCCATGTGCTGCATGTCTGCAAGCGCGAGTTACCCAGAAGCTGAGGCGCTCAGGCTGGCTGGCAGGGGGGATGTCTCCGGCATTCCTCACATGCTCAATCAACCTGCTGCGACGATCTGATGCAACCATGCACACATGCACACATGCACACATCCCAGCATGCACACATCCCAGCATGCACACATGCACACATGCACACATCCCAGCATGCACACATGCGAACACACCCACACGTCCACATGCAATCACCCCACAGGCCAATACATCACATCACATGCAGAAGACAGGGGACCGCTGAGGGCAAAGAAAGCACAGAAACAGCTGGGATGGGCTTTCGGGCAAAGGGAATACACTGGGCATTTAGTGGTTCTGATGATGCAGAGAAAGAACAGGAAATAGTCCTTACTCTGCGTCATTCAGTTCTCAAATGAATGCTTCAGGGGCAGCATGCGAAAAGCATAATACAGGGAAGGGGAAGGGAAAGGGGAAGGGAAAGTGGAAGGGCAAGGGGAAGGGAAAGGGCAAGGGAAAGGGCAAGGGGAAGGGCAAGGGGAAGAGCAAGGTGATGGGCAAAATGAAAGGGCAAGGGGATGGGCAAGGTGAAGGGCATTACTTGCACGAGCAGTGGAGAGAACTCGAGCCACCCACTCTCTTGCCACCCCTGCCACCTCCTCTGCTAGCGATGATAGCTGCAGGAGCGGGCGGGCAGGAGTATGTGCGGGAACGAGAGGGTTAGAGGTAGAAGAAAAGATCAGGAGTGTTTGAGGAGAATAGTAAGTATTACGGTACTTCTGTTGATGCACAGAGGAATGAATTGTTTGAGGTGCATTGGCTTGGCGAATCACCTTGTTTGCCGTGTCTGAGCCTGGCTTTGGAATGGCGTATTGAAAATGGACACACACATGGACACACACATGCATGCATGCCGATGCAGCCTGTGAAGTAATGCACATTGTTGGGTTGCTACCTTGTTGGCTGCTTCTGAGCCTGCCTCTGGAATGACGTCTTGCACCCACTCCACTTGAGCCACTCGGTACCTGCGGTGGGGACACACAGGCAGGCAGGCACACACAGAGACGTGCATGCACGCACACACGCGCTTGAACAGATGCGCGTGCTCGCAACGCAAACGTGAACACACATGCGCGCATGCACACACACACATGCACATGGGAAGAATCCACGCATGCGCGATGTGCCCGCCGGTCTTGCTCACCCGTCTTGCTCCCAGCTGCTGGTGATGCTGAAGCGACGCACTCCCTCCACCTGTGCCCATGAGAAAAGGGGGAAAGAGGGGGGGGGGGGGGGGGGGGGGGGGGGGGGGGGGGGGGGAGGGGGGGCATGAGAGAAGCGTGAAAGAGGCGTGGGGGAAGGAAGAGGAATGACTCAAAAGTCACCTCGTTTCAATGGCACATGACACGCGACACATTTCCACAAGGAAGATTTACCTCGAAAACTAGACATTCGGGGGCACACACACTCCCAAGACGCACAACCAATGCACAGGTGTGCACACAAGGCCATAGCGTACCTCTATGTAGAAACGGCCATCGGGTAAGGGGTCACATCTGATGGCAGCATGGGGGAGATGGGAGGATGGGAGGATGGGAGGATGGGAGGGCAGGCAGGGCAAAGAGGGGACGGGAGGGGATTGTTTTGGAGTGAACTTTAAAGCACCTTTGATGGTTGAATGGAACGACCGGCAGGAGACGAGAGGAGAGGGGAAAAGGGTATAAGGAAAGGAGGACTTTTGAGGTGCCTCAAAAGTTGAATGGAACGACTGGCAGTAGAGGAGAGGAGGGAAGGGTATAAGGAGGATCGGAAATGCCAAGGGAGGAAAAGGGTGGTGGCAGCTTTGGGAAGTGTTGGATTGACACACGAGCAGATTGCGATCGGGGGGGGGAGAAGCATGGCACAGGTGTGTGTAGCAGAAGGGAGAATGTTGTGGCAAGATTGTGGTTCAGCATCGCGAGGAGATGCCCTGGCATGGCATGGCATGGCATGGCATGGCATGGCATGGCTGCAGGGCATACTCTGAGATCTTGACTTCACATGCCACGTCCTGCATGGTGCCAGAGCGCCTATCCACTCCCACCTGGCGAGAGGAGAGGATGGGGAGTGAGGGGAGCGAAGCGAGCAAGGGGAGGAGGGGGAGCGAGGAGAGGAAGGGGAGCGAGGAGAGGAAGGGGAGCGAGGGGAGGAAGGGGAGCGAGGGGAGGAAGGGGAGCGAGGGGAGGAAGGAGGGTGAGGAGGAGAGTGGGACAAGTGAGGAGAGCACAGTGATGCTTATGCAGCATGAGATGGGATGACGCCGTGAGATATGGTGTGACATGGCATGAGACGGCATGGCTTGGAGTGACATGGCATAGCATGGAGTGACATGGCATAGCATGGAGCAACATGGCATAGCATGGAGTGACATGGAGCATGAGAACTAGTCGTACCATGCCCATGCGGTGATCCCCCTCCATGATTCTACGAATCTGCATGTTGTCGCGATGCACATGCATGCATGATGGACACGCACACGCACACGCACATGCACATGCACATGCACACGCACATGCACATGCACACGCACACGCACATGCATGCATGATGAACACGCACACGCACACGCACATACAAAGAATCGCACAAGGCAAGCAGAGGGAATGCATGAAGCATGTAGCATGATAGTACCATAGAACATACTCTCATGCTACTCAACATAAAAAGTGCCATAAAAGCAGGGTATCTGGGCTCAAATTTGCTGATCGCCATCTTTTGCCCTGGCAGGCAGCAATAAATTGAAACCCCCACCTCCCCCACCACCACCCTTGCCTCTCCTCCCCTCAAATATATAAAGCGCCATCTTCTGCCCTGGCAGCACAGAGTACGATGCACGCATGCATGATGCACCCCCACCACCCTCATCATAACCTCTCGTCTCTCTTCCCCGCACCCCCTATCCCTCCCCCCTTCCCCCCCCCCTTTCCCCCCCCCCCCCCTTTCCCCCCCCCCCCTTTCCCCCCCCCCCCCCTTCCCCCCCCCCCCCCCCTCTTACCCCCTCCGGCCCACCATGAGGCGGTATCTGGGCTCAAAGATGGTAAGAACCATCTTCTGCCATCTGATGGGGCAGCACAGAGTCCCGTGCACACATGCATCAGGCAATCCTTCCCCTCGCCATCATCCCCACCCAATCCTTCCCCTCGCCATCATCCCCACCCAATCCTTCCCCTCGCCATCATCCCCACCCAATCCTTCCCCTCGCCATCATCCCCACCCAATCCTTCCCCTCGCCATGATCCCCACCCAATCCTTCCCCTCGCCATGATCCCCACCCAATCCTTCCCCTCGCCATGATCCCCACCCAATCCTTCCCCTCGCCATGATCCCCACCCAATCCTTCCCCTCGCCATGATCCCCACCCAACCAACCCCCCTTCGTCATCCCTCCCCCCCCCGTTCCTTCCTTCGCACCCACCATGAGGCGGTATCTGGGCTCAAAGATGTTAAGAGCCATCTTCTGCCCGGGCAGAACCGAATCCATGACGAACAGAGGCAGGATCTGATGCACCGGGGTGGAGAGGGGTGGAGAGGGGAGTGGGATTCCCACCCTTTCGCTTGAAAGTACAGAGTCTGTGCTCAAGAGAAGGAGGAGAAATTCACGCAAAGCAGAAAGAACACAGGGTGAGTGGAAAGGGGTGGGAGACGGCACAGGGGATTGTGGTGTGCTTTAGAGCGGTGGAACAAGATAGAACAGGGTGCTATCCACTGCCAACGACTCACCTCTCCCTCACTCGCCTCTCCCCCCACTCCCCTGTTCCCCACACACACACTTCCTACTCCCACACACTCACCTGTCCGCCCCCCGAAACACTCACCTCCCGCCCCACCACCTTCTCCCCCTCCACCTCCTGCCGCCTCTCCTCATACTCCTCTGGGAACAGCCGCTCTAGAATGGCCTGAAGAGTCACACTGCAGTGGAGGAGTAGCAACAGCGAGGCAGGGGCGATTCAGTGGGTGGAGGTGCGTGAGGTGAGGTGGTTTAGGGGGACTCAGAGACTTCAACTTCAGGGGACGGTCTCTCCTCATACTCCTCTGGGAACAGCCGCTAAGGGATAGCCTGAAGGGTCACACTGTGCGGGGGGAAAGGGGAGGAGGAAAGGTGGCTAGAAAAGGGGTGGCGGAGGTTGCAAAAGCAGGATCAGGTGATTCAGCTGAAATTTTTGAGTCCATTCATCTGTTAGGGTGTGGAATGACCTGAGAGAATGTTGCAATCACCTGAAGGGGTGTGCAATCACCTGACAGGGTGTTGCATAGGGCTGACGAAGAGAACAGTGCGGCACACGGGGCACTTGTTGCCTGCAAGGGGGGAGAACGAGAGGAGAGGAGAGCGAGAGGCAAAAGGACAAAAGAAGCCATGTCAGGATAAAAGCTTGAACGGCTGCTTCTTTTTCTTCGTTATCCTTTTTCCTGGAAAGAGTGAAGAGGTATGATATGGCTACACAGCTCGCCATACCACGCCATGCCATGCCATGCCATGCCAAGCCATGCCATGCCATGCCATGGCCACGACATGGCACTGAAGTGGAGTGGTGTGCCCTGGCTACATGCCACACCACTGCATGTGATGAGACTTTTTTTTAAGGTCAACTAAAAAATCCCCACCGCATGCAAGAGCGCTGCAGCAGCATCTGACTGAGCCCCTTTTTCCAGGGCTGGATTGCAAGCATCATTGAGAGGGAGCACCCTTGAGCCACTTGCGACAAATCACAGGTGATTTGTGAGGCGTCCCAAGACACTTGTGTTGTGTGTGTGACTATGTGACTATGTGATCCAATGTGCGGGACACAGGCACTCATACCATGATCCAGCACATGCAGAGTCGCTCATGCCTAGCAACACACACACGTGCACACTAGCAAATGCGCACACATGGTAGCATGGTAGCAGCACAGGCACACATACCATGATCCAGCACAGGCACACATACCATGATCCAGCACAGGCACACATACCATGATCCAGCACAGGCACACATACCATGATCCAGCACAGGCACACATACCATGATCCAGCACAGGCACACATACCATGATCCAGCACAGGCACACATACCATGATCCAGCACAGGCACACATACCATGATCCAGCACACGCACGAGACAGGAGCGACAGAAAGAGTGCCCTGCAGTGGGCGAGACAGGGTGCAGACAGGGAAAGGTGGGAGGGTGGGGAAGTTTTGGTAAGCGTGTCTGCCCAACGGCCAATCGTCCAGGGTGAATGACAAGACAACAGGGCGTGGTGACAAGTAGCAGCATTCGGTAATTTCTGAGGCGCTTCAAAGAGCAGTAGCATACCACAGGGCGTGGTGACCGGGTGAAACAGCAGCTTCAGGCACAGACTGCAGTCAAACTCCTCTGTCCTCTCCACTCCATGCTGCTGACTCTTCTCGTTCTTCCCATGCTCTTCCTGCTGCTGCTCGTTCCCCTTCTTCCCCTTTCCCTTCCTTGCTCTCTTCCTCCTCACCCCATCCTTCCCCTCCTCCTGCTCCCCCTCTCCCGTCACCTCCCCTCCCTCCTTCTTCCCTCCTCCCCCTTCCACACCCTTCCCATCTCTCTCCTCCCCCGCCTCCTCCTCTTCCTCCTCCTCATCGCTCTCCTCTTCCCCCTCAGAAGACGACAAACCGCCTTTTCCATCCCTCCCCTCCCCTGCCTCATTCCCCTTGTTCCCTACCCCCTCGGCCTCTCTCCGCCCCTCCCGCCCTCCACCTCTCCGCCCCTCCCCTCCTCCTCCTACTCCTCCTCCTCCTCCTCCTCCTCCTCCTCCTCCTCCTCCTCCTCCTCCTCCTCCTCCTCCTCCTCCTCCTCCTCCTCCTCCTCCTCCTCCTCCTCCTCCTCCTCCTACTCCTCCCACTCGCCCTGCCTGCACCACTCGCCGCACCTCCTCCTCCTCTGCTGTTAGTTCCTGCAGCCCTGCTTGCAGCAGCGGGCTGGGGCGGGAGGGGGGGGGAGGAGGGGGGAACACATGGGCACATAAGGGAAGGCAGTGGGTCGTGTAACAGTCAGATGGGGAGTGTCTGAACTAGATATCCTCCTCCTCCTCTGCTGTTCGTTTCTGCAGCCCCGCTATCAGCAACGGGCTGGCGAAGGGGGGCAGCACAGCATGGGGGGAAAGGGGGAAGGGGAAAGGGGAAAGGGGAAGGGGAAAGGGGAAAGGGGAAAGAGGAAAGGGGAAAGGGAGCGAGACACCATGAAAGGCAGATGGTATGGGGGTCACGCGGGTGGTAAGAGAGAGACACAGGTGACAGATGAACTAGGTCGGCAGTGCATGCTGCATCCAGGCCAGGCCAGGCCAGCAAGGCTCACTTGGTGGGGTCGATGTGAAGGCCGCTGAGAAACGCCTCCCGTGCGTCACTGTATCGCTCCAACTGTGGCATGGGCAGGGCAGGTGGGCAGGAGAGGGGAGGGAAGGAGAGCGATCCTTGAGTCGACAGGAAACAGGCCGCTGAGAAACGCCTCCCATGCGTCACTGTATCGCTCCAACTGTGGCATGGGCAGGGCAGGTGGGAGAGAAAGAGGAGGGAAGGAGAGAAGGGGGAGCGGAAGGGATGGGGGCCAGGGGCGAAAGGGGAGAGCAGGAAAGAGGGGCAGGGAGCGAAGGGAGAGAGGGGAGAGAAGCGAGTGGAGTGGCAAGCAAGCATGACAAGCAGGACACATATGGCAAGCACGCAAGTCTCGGGACTTTGGGGAGTAGGCAATTCAGCAGCAGCGGCAGCGGCAGTCAGGAGCAGCCACTCACGAGAACGAGAGCCGCTGCTTTCCGGAGGTGCGCCTTGGGCCAGTCCTCGCTCTGCTTCACTAGCTTCTCCGCATCCTTGAGAGCAAGCTGTCACAGGCAGACAGGCAGACAGGCAGGCGGACAGACAGACAGGCAGGAGAGTAAGCATTTACAGGCAGGCAGGTTTCCAGTCTAGTTTAGAGTGCGCTTTGGGCCAGTCCTCGCTCTGCTTGACTAGCTTCTCCGCATCCTTGAGAGCAAGCTGGTGGGAGGGGGTTCACATGCAGGCGATCGGATCGAGAGACAGGCAGGCAGGCAGGCATTCACAGGCAGGCAGGAATGACTTTCTCGAATTGGCAGGCAACGGGATATGCCGATAGACTAGAGACGGAGAGATGGAGAGGAAGGTGTAGTGTAGTGTATCGAAGGGAAGACGAGGGAGTTGAGAGGTGGAGAGGTGGCAAGGTGGCGAGGTGGCGAGGTGCCGAGGTGGGGAGGTGCCGAGGTGCCGAGGTGAGGAGCGAGCTGTCATGCGAAAGTCACAAAGAAAGAGGCATGTGAGCAACTTGAATGTGAAAAACCTGATGCAAGGAAATGGTCGGCTAGGCAGGGGTTGGGCAGGGCTTTGGTGTGCGAAAGAAGGGGCCATTTCTTTGCACCTGGGCGAGAGAGAGTGGGTCGAGGCCATAGAGAGCCCTGCGCTCCGACTGTGCTGCTGGGATGCTGCGCAGTCGCTTGCTCAGGCTGGCGGATGGAAGGTGCAGAGGCAGGGGGAATGGAAGCAGGGGAAACAAAAAAAAAACATAAGAAGACTTTGCTCAGGCTGGCGGAATGGGGGCCCGTGGGTGGAGGGAGAGGGGATGGAGACGGATGGATGGGGAATTGGTGTGGTGAGGATGGAAGGTGGAGATTTGAATGTGGTGGGAGACAGAGAGAATGTGAGCACGTGCATGTGCACGGTTGTTGCAACACCCCACCCCACCACACCACACCCATCCATCCATCACCCAGAGGCAAGAACGGGGGAGAAAAGTTCCTTCAAGGCAACTGGCAAAGGCGTACCAGCAGAGAGCGGCGGATCGGTTACTAAGGAGTACAGAAGTAGCGTCAGGGGGCAGACGGGGAGGCAGAGAGGCCGTGGGTGAGCCAGCACAAGCAGCGGTAGGGGGAGGTTGGAGTGCAGAGAGAGTGGTGGGTGGGAGTCGGAACCCCTCCTCTGGGCTGCTGCTTGCGCTCACAAACGGGCTGCTGCTGTTGCTGCTGCTACCGCCGCTGCTGCCGTGGGTGCTGCTCGGGTTTGGTGTGACGGCGGTGGGTGTGACAATGGCAGGCGTGGCAGTGGTGGGTGTGGCAGTAGCGGGCGTGACAGTAGTGGGAGTGACAGTGGCTGAGTGTGCCTGTGACGAGGCGAGCTGGCTGAATCGCTGCAGTGCGCGGGAGTACGCCTCTATTGCCTGATGGGCGGGGGGAAGCCGGCGATGGGGGAGAGGGAAGTTTTAAGGCGCCTCAAGAAGAATCGCTGCAGTGCGCGGGAGTACGCCTCTATTGCCTGATGGGGGAAGGGCGGCAGGGGGTGGGAGGGAAGGAAAGGTGGGAGAGAGGAAGGAGGGACGGGTGAGTGAGTGAGTGCATGGGTGGGTGGCGGAGAAATGAGAGCGTGGGAGGAAAAGGCTATTCAATCGACTCAATAGACTTGAGAGGAGCCTCATTTCAATTTGCTTTTGAGTTGTACGCTGCCTTCCCCCCTCCCCCACTTTTTTCCCGCTCTCCTTCCCTCCCGCCTCAGAGCACGCACCTCGTCGTAGTTGCCCCGGCGGAAGGCCCTGTTCCCCCGCAGGTGATATTTGAGCCGACTCAAGACTCCCTTCTGGAAAGCCTCATGTGTTACCTTCTCCCCCACAACCCTCCCCCCACTCCCCACGCCCCAACCCCCCACTCCCCAACCACCACTCCCCCCCCAACCTCCCCCTTCCCTCCCGCCTAGAGCGCGCACCTCCTCGTAGTTGCCCCGGCGGAAGGCTCCGTTGCCCCGCAGCAGCATGTGGCGCACCGTCCCCGCGTCTCCCCCCTCGCCCAGCAGCGCCGCCAGCTGCCCCAGCGCGCCCCGCTCCGCCTCATCCTTGGGAAGAAACGGATTAGGGGGAGTGGGAGTGCGGGAGGGTGACAGAGGGGGGGGAATGCAGGGGGAGTGGATTGGATGAGCAAGGGAACGGGTAAGGGGCGCGTCCCCCTCGCCCAGCAGCGCCGCTAGCTGCCCCAGCGCGCCCCGCTCCGCCTCGCCCTTGGGGGGAAAGCGGAGGTTGTGCGGTGAACGGGGGGGCCAGGAGAATGGGTTGGGGGAAGCGGGGGAGGAGTAAAGGCAAGGGTACACATTAACAAATGAGCCTCCTCAAGTAAACATTGCGGTTACAGAGACGACTTTTGAGGCGCCTCAAAAGCAGGGGGAGGGGAGGGGAGGCAGGGGTACACATCACATCACATCACATCACATCACATCACATCACATCACATCACATCACATCACATCACATCACATCACATCACATCACATCACAGCACATCACATCACATCACATCACATCACAGCACATCACATCACATCACATCACATCACATCACATCACATCACATCACATCACATCACATCACATCACATCACATCACATCACATCACATCACATCACATCACATCACATCACATCACATCATATCAAGAGGTGAGACGAGTCTCCTGGAGCCTTTTCCTGCGGTGAGTCTCATCCAGTGGGGTGTTTGTGTGAGCCTCTGCGTAGAAAGGGAGGCTGAGGCTTACAAGCAGCGGGTCGTCGTCAACTCCAGGATCCAACGACGAATGGGGTGGGGGAAGCAGGGGGAGCGGAGGAAGGGGGAGCAGGAAAGAACGACATTAAGAGGTGTGTGTGAGCCTCCGAGTGTGTGAGCCTCCGAGTGCGTGAGCCTCCGAGTGTGTGAGCCTCCGAGCGGGTCGGGTTAGGGATTTGCCATGAGGCTTACAAGCAGCGGGTCGTCGTCAACCCCAGGATCCGACGACGAAGCGGGATTGACGGTCGTGTGGATAGTAACGCGTGCGCTCGCGCCCCGTGCCGCTCCTTCCCCACCTGCTCCTGCTCCTCCGACTCCTCCCGCTGCGACTCCGTCAACAGGAGGCGCGGATACGGCGGCAGCAGCAGGCATTTGCGACGGAGTTTCCATTGTCGCACGGGTTCGCTCGGTGCTGCGCAAGCTGGCTTGTGCTTCGATGGTTACACGTCGCACACACGACTTACAATTCCCCAGCTTTTCGTTGCCAGAACAGTCGCAAGCATGTGTATGTGTGTGTGACGGGAATGGGGGCTGTTTCCGTCCAAGAAAATGTGGGCAAGGGAGGGACGGCGAATGGAGGGTGCGGGACAGGAGAGGTTGGGCGATGAATTTGGATGTGGCGATGGGCGAGTACTCTCTGGCGAATTCACACAAAGCCCTAAGCGCCTCGCACTTTAATGTTTCTTGGTTACCATGGGCGTACGGACGAATGACAACACACAATGAGAGCGCATCACCTTTTTCTCCTGCGAATGGATGGTGAGGTGAGGTGATGCGAAGGGGTGGATGGGACATCAATTGGAGGATTAGCTGACGTGGCGTAACGCTGTTTGTTGGAAACGTCACCATGGGGAATTTTCTCAACTTCCTGGATAGTCGACCAGTCACGCATGGGGCAAAGCAGCGTGGCGCTAAGTAAACCACTGAGAAATACGCGATACGACAGGCATCAAGTCGTATCGGGCGCACACCCCCGTTTACAAGATTTCAGTAAATCATAAATAAAAAACATAAGCTTCTAGAAGGCTACATTCATCTTTGCTCAACAAAAAATTCCAATATATTGGACATTAAACTCTGCCACCTGTACACATCAAGAATCCAGGCCGCAGCACCTATTACCACATGATGCAAGACACACCATAGCGAGGTATTGCTGTTGACAGTCTCAGCTATGGCAGCAGCGGTCAGGATGGTGGACGGAGGTTGGTGGGGGTAGGTGGGAAGGAGTGGAAATGGGTACAGAACCATTGTGAAAATTCAGAAAGCCTGAACCAACCAGCACAAATCAACTGGTAAACGGAGAGCGCCGTCAAGAGACCAAGTAACTGGTGGAATAGCAGCCTATTTGCGGCTGTGCTTAGGCGTACAGCGGATTCTAAGACCTGGGGGCAGCACCCGCAGCACCGGGAGCACCAGCGGCACCGGGGGCACCTGGGCGACCACCTGGGGCACCTGGCGCACCTGGCTTGCCACGGTCGTCCTGCTTTGCATTTCAAACCGGAGGGTGGGATGACAGGATTAAGAGAGAGAGGATTGAGGGAGAGCATAGAAGGATGCGTTGAGGTTGGGAATCAGTGGTGGGGAGCAAGAGTAGGAGGAGCAGGCAAGGTAGGAGCGTGGAGAGAAATATGGAGATACAGTAGGTGGTGCAGTTGTGAAGAACGTAAAGCACATAGACAGACACAATACGCTCTCTCCCTTCCCTCACACACCAACCAGCTCGCCAGATGGAATCATGAATTGCACAAACGCCCTGCATAATCTGTGTACCCTGCATACGCTGTATGCAAGCAACCTAATCACACACATACGCACCCATCACACACATACATTCATGCACCACAACCCGCAATACTCCTCCCCTCACCACTCATCACCCAGAAATCTCCAACCCCCCGACATCCCACACTCGCGTCCCCTTTCCCCCACCTAACCAAAAGCGCTGTTCCCCTGCAGCTCCCCCCGCCCTCTCCCCCAGCAGCAGCGCCTTCACCCACCTTGCGCCCGGGCCTCTTGGGCGGCTCGCGGATGCGGCGCGCCTGGCGCGAGCGCACGCGCACGACGTGCGAGTGGATGGCGCACGAGATGCAGTACTGCACCTTCGCGTACAGCTTCGGCAGCGCGTAGCCTGCGCGCACGAGGGGGAAAAGGAGAAGGGGGGCGAAGGGGAGGTGGGGGAGGAAAAGAGGAAGAGGGGGTGAAGAAGGAGGTCAAGGAGGAGGGCGATCCAGCGGTTACGACTTTTGAGGCGCCTCATACAGGAGGAGGTCGAGGAGGCGGAGGGCAACCTAGCGGTTACCCTATCAAGAGTCGCGTTTCTCTCATGCACTCTCATCCCTCTCTCATCCATCTGCACCCATCCACCTGTCTCCAACACCATCTGCAATTACCCCACAGACCATCATCTACTCATACCATCCGCCTCTACCATCCTGCACGCTGCAAACTACAAGACCCCTATCCCCTCTTCCCTTTGCCCCCCTGCCGCTAGCCCTCGATAGCTCCCCCTGATGGCCTCCTAGCATCCCCCCCATAGGCCCCTCCGCGCACCGTCATAGACGCACGCCTCCTGCACGTCACGCACGGCCGCCTGCTCCACGATGTTGCGCACCAGGAACCGCTTCACTGCCTTGTCCTGTGATTAACGGCGGGGGAGGGAGAGCGAGGAGGGGAGAGAGGGTGAAGATGAGGAATTGGCGGGTGATGAAATGTCGCAATGAGCGACGAGACTCTAAGGCGGGCACTATAGACTCCACACCGGAAACTGGCTAACCTCCTTCCACGTAGGATTTTATATAGAAAACGAACAAAGGGGGGAACGAAAGAGCATAGTAGGGATGGATGAGATGACAGGGGAAATCAGCACCTACGATACAAGGTCGGCACTGACGCACTCACGAATGCCAAGAATTTTGGACAGGAATTATTAGAAATAGCAGTCAGAAGGGGTTCAAATAGAGCTCAGAATTCAATATTGACTTCAACAAGCCATCTCTTAGACGTCCGATAGTCAGATCAACTTAGTACATAGAATGTAAAGCATCATAGCTCCCTTCCGAACAACCTGATCACTACTCTTGACTGAACCCACGTAGCAACCACACTAACCACCAGCGAATGGATGTCATGGGCTCAGAAAAAGCGTTATTATAGGATGATCACCCATGCGAGCAGAAGCCGCAATCGGAGTTTACTGTAGCGCATCATAGCTCTCTTCCAAACAGCCTGGTCACTCACTACTCTTGACTGAACCCGCGTAGCAACTACACACTAATCATCAGCGAATGAAATGCCATGGGCTCAGAAAAAGCGTTATTATAGGATGATCCCTCATGCGAGCAGAAGCCGCAATCGGAGATTACTGTATCGCATCATAGCCCGGCAAGGCAACCAGCCACAACTCGCATGTGCAGCGGCCTAGTGAACAAGAGTCCGTTTGAGTCGAACTAGCGAATACAAGACTTAAACACAACAACAGAGCGGACTCGGAGAGGAAACACTCAGGGCGGAATTACTCGGAAATACCCGGAACTACTCAGAATCTTGCAAAGGCAGAAGCTCAGGGACATTGAGATGTGTCTCCAACGGCTGCCATACAGGCAGTCGTGAATTCAGGTCAACTTAGTACGTTAGTCTAAGCATCATCGCTTCTCATCCGATGCGCGCTCGACGACAGCTACGAGGACTGATATGAGCGACAGTACGCTGCCACGGATAGATTGGCACCGATGCAAGACTGAACGAGAATCAGGGAATGCGGAAACACAGAAGAGGAAAAAGGAGAAGGCACAGAATCTATTCGCACTAGATAGAATGACCACCCACTAGGGTGCGGACGCGGATACAGGAGTCGACTCGAACATCTAAAACTCCCAGTGGATTGTCAACGCCGAGCGAATGTCGGCGATAAATGATTACTAAGCTGGTAGGGCGACGGAGGAATGGTGGGAGACGGATGCGTGGGGGGGAGGCGGACGCACCTTGGGGCAGCACTTGGCGCAGTTGGAGCAGCGGATGGGCTTCACGTGCCCGCGGCCGTGCTTGTTGCGCCCTCCATTGCGCCGCTTCACCGTCTGGAAGGGGTGGCGCGGGGGGGAGGGGGAGTAGGGAAGAGTGAGGGGAAAGTGGGGGAGGAATAACGGGGAAGAGGGGCCAGAGGGACGGCTGGGGTGAGAGAGAAAGATCAAGTGCAAGAGAAGGGCGAGAGCGCGCGCGCGCGAGAGAGAGAGAGAGAGAGAGAGAGAGAGAGAGAGAGAGAGAGAGAGAGAGAGAGAGAGAGAGAGAGAGAGCGAGAGCGAGAGCGAGAGTGCGAAAGAACGCGAGGCGCGGATAGGAAATCGCATGTGGTTGGAAAAGCAATGAGGGGACTGAACGCAAGGCAGGGTATGGAGCAGAGCACAGAAAAGTCGGCGAAGAGATGAAATTCGTAGCGGAATTTAGGAAGGAGAAATTGAATCGTAGCGGACGGAACAACTACGCGTGAAAGCGAATCCCGATGGGAGGCCATTGGCCACGTATGGTGCTTCATATACTGGCAAATTAACAGAAACGAGGCTTTAACTGACTCTGACACATGCCCTCACGATGTGCACTGAGTAAGGGCCCCTAGCTAATCTTCGGAGCTCTTCAATCACCAATTCTCGCAATCCACACTGCATAAAGCTAGGTAAAAAATGTGCGGGCGAGCCTGCTACTCGGCTAACACACTTACCATGGTGACGTCACTGTGAGGTAATCCTGGATAGACGCTCTGGCGGCAGGCAAGGCAAGAGAAGACTAAAGAGAGAAGATCCAAAGGAAGAAACCAATGTAAAGTGGAGATGATTTTATGGCAGAGGTGGTGGGGAGATGAGCACGTGAGAGGGGGTTTGGGAGGAGAGGGAGTGGTGGGAAAATGAGCAAGGCAGGGGAAGGAAGGAAGGCTTTCGGGGATTCGTCCATCGACGGAACTTGAGGACTCGCATTGATATCTACACTTTGTAATTGCAGAACTAAAGATAATATGCATACATCATCCGTTCCTCTTTTGCTCCTAGCTTATGCTTATTCGCTGCATATAATAAATGAAATCTCATTTTATTCATGGATAATATAAAAATCCGTACATCCTTACGTTGGTGCAATAGCTGCACTTCTCTATAGCCAAGTGTCAATATATTATGCTCATTTTTGTTGGACTGAACGCCTTAGGATCTTTAGTAGAGTTAAAGTCTGAGTAAATGATGTAGTAGCGGAAGCGTTTGAATAAAGTCCTTTGAACCACCTTGCGCTAGTATGTGAGGGCAAAGTAAGTTAATTAAAGCAAAGAGATACAGGAATATATATAAGTACAGAGAATATGAAGAGACATAATTGTAACTGTTTTACTGTTGCGGTTCGATACAGTGCGACTCGGGCAACTGCTCAATGTCGAGTCAGTTGTGTGTCCTTGCTGTCGCGCTGCGTCAGGTCAAAGGTCGCTGACCTTTGACTTTCTCGTAACCTCCAGCGATTACGTTAATCTCCGAGGGTTGACTCGCGGTGCTTCGATTTGAGCTGCTTCGCTTGTGTCTTGAGTTTCGACACGATAGAGGCGCTTAAGACTATTTGTTCCCAACACTCCCCTTCGCTTCTGGAGTGTCGCTGATGGTGACGTGGCTTTGTCCAGTCAGCAGCATGCAGTACTCGAACTTCTGTTTTCCGAGCTTCTTGGTCAAGTAGTTAGTTGCCATCTCAGACGTGGGACAGCAGGATAGTTTGAGTTTCCCTTTCTCGATCTCGTCTTTCACGAAGAAATATCGCAGGGCGATATGCTTCCTTCTGTTCGCGAATCCGCTCTTGTTGGCGATGCGAATCGCAGATTGGTTGTCGCAGAACAGAGTGAAGTTGGGTATCTCGGCTAACTTCGCTTCTTCCAGCAGCTCGCGAAGATAGAGTCCTTCCTTGGTGGCTGAGCAGCGTGCGATATATTCTGCTTCAGCTGAGGAGAGAGCGATTAGTTCCTGCTTGCTCGATTGCCAGGAGATAGGTCCGATAGGTTCGAGGCGGTAGATGTAGCCAGTGCGGGAGCGTCTGTTGTCTGAATCGCCGGCGTGATCGGCATCGACGTAGCCGATTAGTTTCGTCGGTGTAGTTTTACTCTTGTAGTATGTCAGGCCGATCGTCGAGGTGCTCACGGAGTAGTGGAGAGCGCGGTCGAGCTCCGCCAGGTGTTCTGTTTCGGGCCTTTTGAGATAGGTAGCAAGTTGACTTGCGGAGTAGGACAGATCTGGGCGGCAGGTGACGGCTGCGAAGAGAAGGCAGCCCAGCTTCCTCTGGTAGTCGCGTATTCCGGCGGTTTTTAGTAGAGCGGGACCTCCTTTGTCGTTCCCTGCCGTATAGCGGTATGGCGTGGAGATAGTGGTAGGTGTGAGCGAGAAGCGTTTGGCGATAGTGTCGGCATACTTTTCGGCGCTGAGATAGATCGCGTTCTCTTCTTCGCGGATGTTGAGTCCGAGGTACTGAGTGACGGTAGAGGAGACCGTGAGTGTAAGATCCCTCTGCAGCTCCCCTTCGAACCAGGTGGTGACGTCGTCGGTGGAGCCAATGTAGAGTAGGCCGTCGACGTAGACGATCAGCAGGATATAGTCGGCGGTTTTGGTGAGTCGATACATTCCTTGGTCGTGAGGTAGTTGGCGGAATCCGATGCGAGTGAGGCGAGTGTGTAGGTGCTGTTGCCACAGCCGCGGGGCTTGTTTGATACGGTAGAGCGATTTCAGTAGCTGGCAAACTTGGTTAGGTTCCCCGTGGGTACCGTGTGGGAGCTCGACGAAGATTTCGGCGTCGACGGGTGCGTAGAGGAACGCGTTGGCGACATCGATTTGTCGCAGTTTCTTCTTCTTCATAGCGGCGATCGCGACAAGTATTCGGAGTGAGGTATGTCGGCTGACCGGGGGGAATGTCTCGGTGAAGTCCCGTCCGTATTCCTGGTCGAATCCACGCACGACCCAGCGTGCTTTGAATTTCTCGATTGTACCGTCTGCCTTTGTTTTAATGCGGAAGACCCATTTCCCAGTGAAGATGGTCTTGTTCCTTGCCACGCTTACGGGAACGACTTTCCAGGTGTTACGTTCCTCCAGCGCCTTTAACTCTCTGTCCATGGCTTCACGCCATTTCTCCCTGTGTTCCCCCCCCAGAGCCTGCTGAACTGTCGCAGGCTCTTTAGGAAGAGCATTGCCGTGGACTGCGGTGACGAGGCCGAGAATCTGCAGTCCAGTCTGTGAGTAGCGGGGGAGAGTTGTGTCCTCGGGATAAGCTGCTTCATCTCCCGCTTCTGGGTTGGGTATGAAATTCGGCCCTTTCCGTTTTGCTTCGTTGGTGTTGACTGTCGCAGGTGTTACGTAACCGTTGTCGGCGAAGTGGTAGAAGACTTCGGCGTTGGCGCTTTCGCAAGGATTTTCTTCGTCCATGGGGACGTTGACGGAGCAGAACGGTAGAGGTCCGGCTTCTTCTGATGCGTTGTCGACGTTCTGCTCGTCCCAGTCTGCTTCGTCCGCTGCTGAGGCGAAGGCTCGGTCACCACGAAAGCCACCTGTGGGGTCCTGATTTTCGTGCAAGTTGGCGAGGTACGTCTGAAGCGTGAGTCGTTCGTAGAAGATCACGTCACGTGCTGCTACTGTTTCCTTGGAGTGGACGTCGAAGATTTTCCACGCGTTGTAATTCTTTTCGATGCCGAGGTGTAGTCCCCATTGTGCGCGTTGTGAAAATCTTCCCGCTCGTGCTTCTGGGGGTCGGTACTATACCATGCACCCGAAAACTCGTAACATTTTTGTGCTGCCCTGTTTCCCTGTCCACAGCAGATGCGGTGATGCGTTGTTCAGAAGTGAGGACGACGACATCAAGTTGTGCAGCATGACAGCGTGGTCCATTGCTGCAGGCCACTGGTGGTTGGGTAGCCGCATGCCACGTAGCAGTTTGCGCATGCTGTTCTGCAGAGTCCTGTTCATTCTTTCTACGACACCTTGCTGCTGATGGGCGTAGGGAAGGGAGAGGAGCTGCTCGATTCCTCTTTCCGCCAGGTACTGCTTGAAGCGCTGAGAGGTGTATTCTCCTCCTCCGTGTGACTGGAAGCTTTTCACCTGTGCTCCCGACTCTCTCTCTGCTACTGGTAGCCAGGCAGCGAACGCTGCGAGTGCCATGTCGCGGCTGGGTAGGTTTAGGTGCCAGACGTATCGAGTGGCGGCGTCGATGAAGGTTATCGTGTAGTTGTAAGTAACTTGTCCTGGTTCTCGATTGAAGAGAATATCACTGTACACCTTCTCTAGTGGTGCGTACGCGGGTGCGCTCGGGTTGTGGTGAGGAGTAAACGGTCGATGTGGTAAGTCGGCTTCGGGGCAGGTGAGGCAAGTTCCTCGTGCCCGTTGAAGCTCTCTGCCGTCGGGTAGTAGTAATGAATCCTTGTCTAGGACTCCTGCTCTTATTGTATTATTTAACACGGTGTTGCTTGGATGTCCCATGCGTGCGTGCCAGATGTCTTCGGAGGCGCAGTGTCCAGGTGAGCGTCGATACGCATCGGAGTTGGAGTAGAAGCTGGCGACGAAGTTTGCGCTTCTGTGGACTTCTCGTTGAGTTGGGTTCAGCTGTTGTGCGAGTGTTGGTGGTGCTTCGTCAACGAGAACTGGTGTCGCTGACGATGGTTCTGCTACTGCCGATGATGTTTCTGCTGCTGCCGATGTTGTCTTTGCTGCTTCTGCTGCTGCCGATGTTGTCTCTGCTGCTGCTGATGATGTTTCTACTACTGCCGATGTTGTTTCTGCTGCTGCCGGATGTTGAATTGTTGCTAACGCGCGTGTTCGTTCTGCTTCAGGGATGGTATGCGAGTACCAGAAGCCTTCCGGGCTGAAGTCTGGATCAAGATCTGGAGGGTGCGTCCAGTCGGCGAAGTTCACGATGGCGTCGCTGTCTGCGGTGCCCAGGTCTGGGACGAAGTCAAGGACAAAGACGTTATTCTTCAGAACCGCCTTTCCGATGTAGAGGCCGCCCTTCCCGTGGTACAGTTTGAACTCCTGGGTGGTGCTGTCGGCTTCCAGGTGTATGCCTTTCGCCATCAGCTGACTGATGCTCAGTAAGTTGTAGTCGAGTCCCTCTGCTATTAGGACTTTCGACATTTGTAGTACGACGTTCGTCTCCCGTGACTGAAGCTGTACTATGCCTTGTCGTCTTGTTCGCAGGTTCTGATTATTGGCGACGGTGATGACGACTTCTCGTTGAAGTCGGTGCTCGCGTTGAACGAAACGTCCTGAGGAGCACATGTGTTGTCCGCAGCAACTGTCCAAGAACCAAGTGTCTCTTCCGGATGGCTCGCTTTGAGCGATGGCGGCGTATGTCGGGTTCGGCTGAAGTGACTCGCGGCGAGGTGTGGTTTCGTCAAGTCATTCTTCTGGTGAGTAGTGCGGCGGTGATTCGGTGATGCAGGAATCTGTTGTCTTTGCCATGCAGTTGACGATGTTTCTTGCTCCTTGTGCAGGTTGTCCTGTTGGAGTTGTTGAGGTTTGAATCTTTGTCGTGGGAGTTGCTTGCGTTGAAGTGACTTAGGATCTTTAGTAGAGTTAAAGTCTGAGTAAATGATGTAGTAGCGGAAGCGTTTGAATAAAGTCCTTTGAACCACCTTGCGCTAGTATGTGAGGGCAAAGTAAGTTAATTAAAGCAAAGAGATACAGGAATATATATATGAGTACAGAGAATATGAAGAGACAT